ATCTATTGGAACTAAATGATTTTCTTTAAAATTCTTAGTTAATTTTATGCTTCTAGTTTGCTTCATACTTTATACGCTATTTTGACTTTTTCAGCTTCCTTTGCTCGTTTGAAATAGTTAGTTCCGCCAAATCTTCTGGAATTGATAGAACACAAAAGACCGATATATATATATATATATATATATTCCTATCAAATAAATCATAAAAATAACTGGGAGGAAGTTTTATTTGTCGATTAAGGGTTTATGATTAAGTAGTCAGGACATATGCCATTTTCAATAGACAGGATTTTTATAAATAAAAAATGTCAAGAAAAGATTTATCTAATTAATATTATTCAATTTCTATATTTTTAACTTAAACTGTTCATAACTTTCTCTCTCTCTGTTTTTATGAATGCATGTATATATATATATATATATATATATATATATATATATATATATATATATATATAAACCATGGAATATATATATATATATATATATATATATATATATATATATATATATATATGTAATAAACCATTTTAGTGTTTAAGTCTTTTTTATTATATTCTTACTCTGCCTGGACATTGAGTTATACCTGGATTCTATCCTCTTGAAATTTTTTATATATATATATGTATGTGTATGCATGTATGTATATATATTTATATATTTTAGATATATATATGTATATATATTAACCACTAATATTATACACACACACACACATATATATATATATATATATATATATATATATATATATATATATATATATATATATATAAAAGTGAACATTGAAGTCAACACTCAGAGGCTGTTTCATGCTAGACACAGTCGTCAGGCCGCCTGACGATTGCGTCCAGCATGAAACAGCCTGTTCTCTTTTATATTTATATTTACATACGCTCTATCTCTGATACTGAGCACTTTATCCCATAAATATAGCACCATAAATATCTATATGTATGTATATAGTAATAGAAATAAATCTGTTGGTGTGTGTGTGTGTGTCTGTGTGAAGAGATATAGTTTTAAGGTATGCTATATTTATGGGATAAAGTGTTCAATATCAGAGTTATAGCATATGTAACTATAAAACTGAACCTTGCAGTCAATCACCCGCCATCTATAATCATGCAGATACCAAAATCAATTAACGGCAGGATTCCCGGCAATTCTTCCAATGAAACCATATTCAACGAAGCTCAGAAAGGGTATGGAACAGTTCTAAAAGATAGTGGATTGCAGGAAACACTCGCATACACACCATCGTGGACAAAAAGCCACCAAAAAAGAAACATTATATGGTTCAACCCACCGTACAATAAAATCATAAAATCTCTTACAGAAACACTTCCCAGAATCAAGCACTCTCCAAAATGTATTCAACAAAAACACAGTCAAAATCAGCTATAGTTGCACCGAGAACATGTCACAAATAATTAAAAAAGCACAAGAAAACTACCAAGAAACTACCCGAACAAATTAAACACACATATCACTACAGAATGACGAACTAACGTCCCTCAAACGGCAATTACTTATAAAACAATGTAATATACCAAGCCATGGTAAAATTATCAGATTACGAAGAAAAATATAGATAGGACTAACTGAAGGACCATGGAAACAAAAAAACTGCGCTCACAAAATATCTTTCACAAATAGTAAATACGCGGAAAAAACAGTGCTTTCCAAATATATCTGGGAAATTAAAAACAAAAACAAAAAAACAATATCATGGAAAATAAGGAAAAGAGCAACAGTCCACAAGAATCAATTAAAAAGCTGCAAGCTCTGCTTAGAGGAAAAATAAGTTACACTTACCTTCCCAGACCAAATAAAACTACTAAATAAACGGTTAGAACTAATTTCAAAATGTAGACACGAAAACAAATTTTTACTACGTTACTTGGGTATCGAAAACTGAAAAGAATAAATAAATAAAATAAAATAAATAAGCAAAAAATAGTAAAATGAATTAATCCAAATAAATAAAGTAAATAATAAAAAATTAATAAACAACTCCCGCCAAAATAACCGTTAGAATAGTCTACCCACAATGCAATAGAACACTACAATGCATCATTGATCCGCATATATAAGTAGTCGAGAAAAAACACAACGCATTTGTCATGATGATTATATTTGCATATATATATATATATATATATATATATATATATATATATATAGAGAGAGAGAGAGAGAGATAGATAGATAGAGAGAAATGAAGATTAAGAGAAATAAATAACCTGAATAGTACATATATATATATATATATATATATATATATATATATATATATATATATATTGTTGTTTTAAAATGACGGAGCGAATTCTTTAAAAAGACCCTTTTTCGTCGTAACAAAAAAAGAAAACATACAAAAAATAATCATAAATGGCGAAAGTAAAACATTGGAGGGTGGAAAAAGAAGGAGCCAGGATTAAGATAGATTTATTCCTAAAACAATAAATCAATGTAAATTAGGCCCTAGCTAAGAAAGGAAAAATGTACTCACCAATAAGGCCCATAGGACGATGAATGTTCTTCTCTCTGCACAAAATCGGTTGATGAAGCTTGATATAAACCACCTCTAAAAAAAACGTAAATGTTTAACTTGACTCATTTGGTTTGTGGGTCAACGATTGGACTACATTTGGAAAACACCCCGGGTTGCGCGTTGAAATCGCCTGATGGACCGTTTAGGGTAGAACACAATGTTCGGTCGGGTAAACATTTACGATTTTTTGAGGTGGTTTATATCAAGATAAATTTAAGAAGCTTTCCCCAACTACTGCCAGTATATGAAATATTACTATTATTAAGATTGCAGCCGCCAATAATATATCTTGATAAGACTTCATATTCTCTCAGAAATGACTCACTGTATAAGTTGAATAAGTTTGGTGAGAAGACAAATCCATGTTTTATACCCCATGAGGTAGAAATTCTAAACTATGTTTATTACTCTGATTTTCTGTATAATATTTCTGCTAGAGTATGATAGAATGATCTTTAATTGCAAGATTTCAAATTGAGCAATAGGTAAGGAATCGAGAGAAATCTTATCTATGACATCTAGAATTTACCAGCTTCAAATCTGTTCATCTATTAAGAGATTTAAGAAACTTTCACCAACTACTGCCAGTATATAAAATATTACTACTATTAATATGGTAATGGTAGTATTAGCTGTTTCTCTATAAGGAAACATTTGGCATTCATTGACTGAGCAGTCAGTACTGATTTCAGTTGAAGTTTATACAATATTTCTTGTAAAATATTTTTTCAGAAAAACGTTTTTCCAGTCCAGTAGCTGTTATCACCCTTTCCAGTATTGTTGGGGGTTTCCTTCCTAACCTTTTATTTGAAGTAGTGTGGAAAGTTGGTTATATCAATATCCTCTCTTTGAGTTACATGTGCTATCCATTTTAGTTGTTGCTGCTGTTGAAAGTCCTCAAGTGATGTGGTTTCCTTTATTTGGTACAGTTCTTGATAATAAAACTAAAAAATAGAATGCATAGTCCCCAAGTCCTGTCGGTTGAAGAGAAATACATCGAAAACACTTTCAGACTCCTTAAACGAGGTACAAGCAACAACAGGACAGAGGCAGGGATATACAGAATAGAGTGTACAAAATTCTCTTTATATATATATATAAAGATAAAGAAAAATAGGAAATGTTCATAAATTTAACATGTTTCACTTTATTAAAGCTTCATCAGAGAATGAAATATGGAGAAAAAGAAAAAAGCAATTCCGGTATTTCTATTTTTGTGTTGTATGATTTTCATTGTTTAAACAGGCTTCACTTATATTTGACTTGTTAAGCAACGTTAGTATAATTTATGGCGTTCAGAACTAAAGGAAAGATGACAAGTACTTTCGAAACTTCCAAAAATTAAAGGATTCCAGACCTAACTAAGAAAACATAAATACTAATTTACATATGCAAATGTATCATAATTCTAGTTTGTCTATGTGGGATTAAGATGATAATGTATATTTGAAAATGTGTGTGTGTCTGTGTGTGTGATTTTATATAATTATACAGCACAACAAAGATAAAATAAAGTCCGGAGTAATCATAGGCTTTTATTTATTTCTTAGAATTCATAGTCCCCAAGTCCTGTGGGATGAAGAGAAATACATTAAAAACACTTTCAAATTCCTCCAAAACCGAATTATTTACAGCACAATGCCAAACGCAAAGCCTACAAAATCCATAGAAGAATAAAAAGCTACAAATAATGATAATCATAACAAAATAAACAGAGAATCCTACCCTACAACTCCATAACATCGCCAACCATAAACTAATTTATCAACACCACCTCTAAAGCAAGAAGAGATAGCGTTAGCAGCAAACGAGATACAAACAACAACAGGACAGAGGCAGGAATATATAGAATAGATTGTATAAAATTATCTATGGTAGACATCGGCAAAAACATCTAGGAAGCTCAAAAAAGACTATATAATCATCGCAGAGATATGCTAGATAACAACACTTTAAACGCACTGGTAGATTATTGTAAAAAATCTGGAAATAATTTTAACTGATTTTAATAATTGTTGTAGAGTGGTTTTCACAGTGGAGGCTTGTATTTGTACTAAGTCGGTCCTAAAATAGGTTCGACGTACAAAACGTTAGGAACTTCATATAATAGGTAATGACGCAGAGAAATCTAGTCATGGTCGCTGATACTTTAATATCCGACTAAAGGTCGTCCGACATCAACTGATTGAACAAAGATATTTAGTCACCCCCCCACGAATTTAATGTCCCTCTTATCGTAGAAAGTCCCGACATATTTTACTTCTGTGTATGTATGTAAAAAAGTGATATTCGTTGTATATTTTTATGAAGAGGATTAAATAAGAAAAAGGTAATAACAATATTTGAGGTTGCTTCAACAGCTTTTGTAAGTGATTCATATTAAATAATGTTCGTTTTTAAATTGGCTATATTGTAAATCGAGCAGATGCTAATGACCTTAGTACTAGAATAAATATTCAGATAGATAGATAGATAGATAGATAGATAGATAGATAGATAGATAGATATGAACAAACTGTGATAGATACCTAGAAAATGAACGGAATGAGATCGATAGATAGAAAGAAAGAAAGAAAATGAAAATAGATAAATAGATAGATATGAACAGACGGACAGATAGTTGGATAGCTAGATATGAACAGACAGACAGATAGTTGTATAGATAGATTGATTGATACATAGATATGAACAGACTGAGATAGATAAATAGCTAGATAGCAAATGAACAGAATGAGATACATAGATATGAACAAACCGTGATATATAGCTAGCTAGATATGTAAGAAATGAACAGAATGATATATATATATATATATATATATATATATATATATATATAGATAGATAGATAGATAGATAGATAATGAACAGACAGGCAGATAGATAGATAGATAGATATATAGATAGATAGATAGATAGATAGATAGATATGAACAAACCGTGATATATAGCTAGCTAGATAGGTAGAAAATTAACAGAATGAGATAGAAAGATAGATAGATATAAACCGACAGATAGATAGATAGATAGATAGATAGATAGATAGATAGATGCATAGATATAAACAGACTGAGATAGATAAATCGCTAGATTTAAAATGAACAGAATGAAATAGATAGATAGATATGAACAAGCCGTGATAGCTAGCTAGATAGAGAGAAAATGAACCGAATGAAATCGATAGATAGATAGACAGAAAAAAAGAAAGAAAATGAACAGAGATAGATAAATAAATGGTTATAATTGAGCAGAGATAGACACATAGACATACAGATAATGAGAATATATTATTATTTTTATGAAAGGTCATTTTATAAATTTACGAAGGATGCCCAATATTTTCCTGCTCGACCCAGATGTGAATTCAAAGCAAGTTTTGAATTTCGGTCAGAATTTTGGAACTGGTTGAAGCCAAGAAATTTATCTTAATGCGGAAAGAAAAAAAAACTAATAAAATAGTCATGGGTCAAAATGTGTCCATCAGTCCACAACAAACGGCCAATTAATAACAAAAGAACGCCAATATTCAATTATTTTGGAACATTTGAAAGAAGTGGGTAAAAGACCCCCTCCCAGTATGTTGACCGACCTACAAATGAAATGCTTGCATTGCTTTCTGTCAAGGCAATATTTTGATAGAAAACAACAGTTCTGACTTGCAATCGGTTTGTATTATTTTCTGTTGTTTTGTTTTACGACATATCAACCTCAATGGGTTATTTAATGCCGATAAGATTTTTATTCCTTGTAATAATCCCAGTGGGCTCTTACAATACAACAGACCCCTCAAGTGGGTACTAGCACTCAAGTCGGGAGACACTGGTTTAGCCGAGTAGATTGACATTAAATTCGGAAATCAGCCAGTAATTAACAGGAGTACAGCGCTTTGACATTAATTCAGTTGCAAATCCCCTCCTAGATAAGACGATAAACTATATTCGCGTCGTGGGTAAAATGATAAACTACGTCCAACAGCAAGACCTCTGTGCGTCCTGCGTATGACGATAAACTACACCCGTGTCCTGGTTATGACGATAAACTACTTCCAACAGCAAGGCCTCTGATCAGGAGGTTTCGAGGATCGTGGAACGACCTCTTGATTGCTGGTGTTCCCAGGTCCACCATAACCTGGTTAGGAAGTACCTGTTAGAGTCCCAAATGTGACCAAATAGTTAGCCCTCAAACTGGGGTAATAACAGTATCAGTGTACAAATAAGTTTTAATATCAGCAATATTTTTTGAGGAAAAATTATTACCAGCAATATATTACCAGAAATACATTTTTGAAGGAAAAATATTAACAGCAATACATTTCTGAATGAAAAAATATTACAAGGAATAAAAATCTTATCGGCATTAAATAACCCATTGAGGTTGATATCTCGTAAAACAAAACAACAGAAAGTAAAACAAACCAATTGCAAATCAGAACTTTTTTTTTCTATCAAAATATTGCCTTGACAGAAAGCAATGCAATCAATTGGTCTATATTCCCTTACGAATGTCATTTGCTTGTCAGTTGCCTTGTGTGAAGCAATGAACACTAACCAATGCATACGAGAGATAACTGATATCTGAAATTTTAAAGTGGTTCATTAAAAACACTTCACTTGAATACAAGACTAAAGTGTTCGTATATACAAAATTAAGATACTTTTGCTTTTATGATTTATAAATATCTTCGTATTAATGTGAAACTCTAGATAGATATTATTACACTGAAAGTACTGTATATCACTCAAGTACATAATTCTTTTTACTACTTTTATTATTTAGGTTTGGTTAATATGAAATTTACTATTTGAAATAACTTATTTTACTTGATGCTTAACAGTGAAAACGGATGACAGAAGAAAATTCGGTATTGGAAACCATCAACATCTGATTTGTTGCACTTGTTCTCTAAATTTTTTTTTCTCATGAATGTGGCTGCTTCTGGAGACCTGATTTCACAGACTTCATCGCTGGTCATAAAACACGAAAGACTGAGATAAAATGACACATTCCCTGTTATCATAGATGTGACATTACTATTAATATAGTCATGAGCAACTGAAAGTTTCCGAATTCTCAGATGAAGTATTTTCATTATTAATTATGTCAAAGCGTTCTTCGTTTTACCTGAATTGATATTTTTTTTCGCTACAATCTGATTAGATGCATTCTACGAGAGTGAAAGTAATGTAAATTGATTGAATTTACTTCTGAGACCAGCTTGTCAACCGTATCAACACAATAAGTTTCAATTTGAAGGTACACTAGAAATCATATGATCTTCAGCATAGTTACTCGTTTTCGAGCGTGCCAATCAGATGAGGCTTCATTCAACCCGTGATACGCACATGGTGTTGATTCTTTAACACGTACAGAGCAAACGTGTGGTTTATACTGCAACTATGAGCGGTTGTACATTTGACTGAGTGGTTTAAACGTTCGTTTTCCGATCATGAGACCCGTGTTCTAATGTCACCATTTGTCAGGTGTTCTTGATCTTGGCGTGTGTGTATCACGTTTGGAAGGTGTGTGGAAACCATATCACTGGTTGAACTAAGCCTTGTCAATGAAATTGGGTAGAAAGAAATATTTGAAGGGATCGTCGATCGTTGTGTTAGCACGAACTCATCGTGACCGATGATTTGAACGTAATGTCCTTGTAAAGACTGTTGATCTCGCCAGATTATGCGCTCTCTCCCAAAAACTATAACTAAAGCCCGCTTAGAATAGTTTTCGTATAAACCGCACGTTTATATACGCGCTGGGTGTTGAAGATATATGAGCGGACAGTCATTATACTGAGCAGAACATAGAGTTCAAATATGATATTTAATCCATAGCATGGAGAGATTTATACAATTTCTATTTGGGTGAAAATGAGAGCAATGGTAGGCGCACTGCTTTCTCGTTCCGTACATCTAAGCATTTTTCTAAGCTTAGCTCAGGTCTGGCACAAGGTTGATAGTTTTGGTGCACCAGTGGGGATCGAACTCACTTTTCAGTCGTAACTGATCTAGCGAGACAATCTTGCTAACCATTACACCATGTTGAAGTGACAAATCCGCACCCTTGTATACGTTTATTTTCCAAGCGTGGCACAAGGTAGAAATTATGGGGCACCCAGTGGGGATCGAACTCACTTTTCAGTGGTAACTGATCTAACGAGACAAGCTTGCAAGCCATTACATCACACTTGGGGGGGGGCAACACATGAGCTTAAATGTACATACTGAGAATTATGCTTCAACTTCCGGTTACGAATAGCCACGCTCTACCGGATATCCTGATTTCGAGCATTATTTAGACGCTGGCGATTCGTTATTTTTCACTTGTCACCAGGACAACGCATCTGCTCACAACATTAAGCAGTTCCTGGCCAAGAAGTACATCGCTGTACTGGAACAACTACACTATTAATCTGATTTTGTTCCATGTAACTTTTTCCTTTCTCCAAGTCCAAACAGGATCATTCAGTGGACTCGTTTTGAAGGCGTGGATGCTATCAAGAACTGAGGGGTATCCAAGAAGAATATTTCTTGCATCACATAGAGAGTGTGACAGAGAAGGATGCATTAGACTCGAGCGGGATTACTTTAAAGGGGAAACCGTGTAGTTTGTTGTTTGGAATTGAAATACATTGTTTGTGGCATCAATCCTTTTACTTTTCAAACTGTCCTCGTATTTAGGAAGGAGAATAAATGACCGTGCAGGAATATAGGAACATTTGCTCTTTACACATTTTTTATTTAATCATCTTACTCCAAGCAAGGAAACAATGTCACTAAAAAGCACAAGGGTTATTGGGTGTGAAAGAATATGGAAAAAGAAAACATTATTAAGTAGAGAGAACAATAAAAGAACGAGTTGAAGGAGACATAATATAACGATAGGCATTACTTTTGGATTTTTAAAGTGCAATGTTGACTGGGAGAAGGCTCCACAAGCGAGAGTTGTGAGAAGAGAGACATAGGAATTAGCATATAACTTACGGTTTCATCTAGTCATTTCAACTGTAAACTGATGAAACCTAGCTGACAATCTAATTGCTTATGTGTATGTGCACGCAAAATCTCACATTCACGTATATATTTACTCAGAAGTATTTAATAAGATTAGACGACATTCGTTTTACAGTCACAAGTACAGTTCCACGAATGAGGATTGAACTCACAACTACAGGAATATTTTGTGAATCGATCTTACTAACTTGCAAATCGCTTAATATATCTGCATGGGTAAAGAAACTTACTTCTACAATCAACACCCCACATCAGGCATAGAGTACAGGTTAACGGGTTAGTTTGTTTTGTTTTACGGCATACACAATGGGTTATTTAATGCCGACAAGATCTGGTAATATTTTTTCAAAAATTTAATACTGGTAATATTATTTCCAAAAATGTATAGCTAGGAATATTTTTTCTTCAAATATTCATTACTGGTAATAATTTTTTACAAAATGTATTGCTGGTATTAAAAACTAATTTTACACGTTTTGTCCTCGGATTTGAGGTTAACTATTTGCCCACAGCTAGGAACCTAACATGTGCTACCACACCGGGCCAGGATGGACCTGGGAACACCATCAATTAAGAGGTGGTTCCACGCTCCTCAAAACCTCCTTATCAGAGGCCTTGCTGTTGGACGTAGTTTATCGTCTTACCCAGGACGCGGATGTAGTTTATCATCTTACCCCGAACGGGGCTTAGTTTAGTTGTTCATTACTACTGAGTAGTGAGTTTTATTTTCACTGTGTGTCACATAAAAAGACGACATCAAATAAGTGAATCACAGTATTTAACGGATTTTATTGAAAACTTTCAGGGTCACATGAGTTCCGTGTCAGGCTGAAATGGTTAAAAGCGTTGGTTAAATGATACTTATATCCGCTTAAAAAAAATGACACGCTGGTGCTTCGGCTTACGGCCACATCACGTTGAAACACCGCTTCTCTTATAATCACCCAAGTTAAGCAACGTCAGACCTGGTCAGTACGTAGATGGGTGACCGCTTGGGATTAACAGTGTTGTGTGCTTGGGTGGTGTGATGGGTAATGGCTCGGAATTGTTGATTGGAGAGCCGAGTTCCAATTCCACTTGGGTTCTATATATTCATTTCCGCGCAAATACACTAGGGAAAGGACAAACAATAAGGCCTTTGACATGGAGGTTTTGAGGAGCATGAAACCACATCTTAATTGCTGTTATTCCCATTTCCACCCTGACCAGGTGTGGTAGATCTTGTCAGGGTCCCAGCTATGGAGAAATAGTGAACCACCAAACTGGTGGAAAACATGAAAATATTAAAATACACTACAAAAATTATCATTAATTTGAAAAACTAAATTATTACCAATACATTTTTTGAAAAAAAATTACCAGAGCTCCCAAGAAAATAAAATTTCGGCATTAAATGACCCATAAGGATATTGATGTGCCATGAGACCAAAAAACTAAACCAAGCATAGGGAAAGTTAACAATCCATCTCTTCCCTTTACAACTATAGCTTAATTAGTAAGATTTGTATCACTAAAACCATTATTATCTCATAAAAGAAATACGTAAAAAAATATTTAGATTTCGGCATTAAATAACTCATAGAAATGTTATTCCTCTAGACAAAGACAACAAATCAAAAATCCTGTGGGTCACATTATCTAGTGGAGCAAGACAAGCAAGGTGAATAAGATCAGTTGAATGCGAACAATATGTGTGATCGGAAAGTTTTATAAAGTTTCAGAGTACAGTGACAGGTACCTGAAGAAGGCCGAGGGGTACAACGTCCGAAACGTTGTAAGTATAAGAGCCAAGATAAGCAAGCTGGTCCGAATACCAAAGAATATAATAATGTAATTTCTCATTTCATAAATCCCGACATAAATTAGATAAGAATATTATGTAAAATTCACGCCCTTTAAAAGTAAGAACATTTATTGTTAATGAATTAGGCGAAGCCTTTTTCTGCAAGTGCCTAGTTATGCTATTATTCATAATTAAAAATCTTTCAAAGTACTTGAAGATATTTTAATGAATAAAAGAAAGGTCTAGATTAGGCGGCGAATGATAACTTTAAAAAGATTGTTTTCTTTTCTGAAAATTTAATGCCAGAGTTGAACAATTCTGAGTTGGTGTGACGCATAAAAATAGGTGTAGATGATACGCTATCTATTTTACGAGTTCAAGAATTATTTATTAGCTTCAGAAATTGGGCAAATATATTTGGCATTATGGAAATAACATTTTAAGTGTCAAAAACTGTCAGCAGTTATTAACTCAGTTTCGGTTGCGGAATCATTCTCTCAAAGATTCCTTTAAGGACCGACTGCAATCCACGGTCATCACGAGGAACGCGATAAGCTGTCAAAATTTGATCAGTAGGTTCTACAGAATGTCATTGGTTTTAAACATCACCAGAAAGTCACTGGAATTATTTACATTATTTGGACTGTCATCCTCATCTTCATTGCCATATTCACAACGTTTCGGCCTCTATATCTCTGAAATGAGGTATTATAATTAATTACATTATTTACATTATTCGGACTGCTATCCTCATTTTCATTGCCATATTCACAGCGTTTCGGCCTCTATATCTCTGAAATGAGGTATAATGATTACTTGCATTATTTACATTATTCGGACTGTTATCCTTATTTTGATTGCCATATTCATAACGTTTCGGCTGGTGTACGCTCCGGTCTTCTTCAAGTGATTGTAATTTCGAACCCCTTATTTCGTCCACCGGGGTAGATTGTTCCAGTTCCACGCGCCATGCCTCTTTCCGATGTCTCAGTTATTTTCCTTTAACTCAACTCCCCAAGTGGATAAAGACGTTGGTTAGATCCAGTTACTAGACCCCAAAATTTGTCAGTCTAATACCAGGCCACAGCAGTGGTGAACCAAAAAACTTGGGGAGTTGAGTTAAAGGGAAATAACTGAGACATCCGGAAGAGACACGGCACTTAGAACTAGAGAATTCTACCCCGGTGGACGAAAGAGTTCGGTTCGAAATTTTAATCATCTGAAAAAGGCCGGAGAGTACAACGGCCAAAACGTTATGAAAATAATCATAATACCTCATCTCAGAGATATAGACAGATACCTGAAAGTTATTGTTCGTATTTAGGCACAGGATACAACACTACCAAATCTGGAAATAGTTCAAATACCTGAAAGTCATTGTTCGTGTTTAAGCACAGGATGCCACAAAACCATTTCTGGAAATAGTTCAAATACTGCTAGCCAAGACAGAACGATTTTTAATTTGTTTGGTTGATGGTGATGTAATATGGATACCCCGCATGCTGTTAGTCAGAATTCCAAATTGACATATTCTTGCGTCATAACCTGAGTTATTTTACTTTTTTTTTTAAAGATTTTTATCGACCATTTATTCAAGGAAGTTTGTACGAAAAGAAAAATTCAACATGACGCTGTCTTTAATAACAATTGACATTATAATCGATGACAATTATATCTGAAAAAAATATTAGTATGTTGTATAGTGATGGTGACAATAAACATTTATTGGAAGAAAAAGTAATTAGTGAAAGAGACCCGTGGTATCGACCCTGAATAGGCCGAGATTAACTTTTGAAGTTAGAATTCTGTAATATAATATGATTAAAATTATATATGCTTTGTGGGTGTTACATCAATTATCACTATTTATTTGAGCCTGTAGAACACCATCTTAGGAAGTAAAGGTATTAAATAGCTGCCTAAAGCTTTCGTTTACATAGTGCAATGGTTAATAAACCTCGTCCTGGTTAGTGACGATAAACTACATCCGGCAGCAAGGACTCTGATAAATTGAAATCAAAATCAAGGGCTTTCTCCTATTGGAAGAAACCCTCTCTGGTTGACTTCCTTCCTGTCTCTGGACATATTGAATCATCTCAGATTCCTGTCCGCTTCTCGTACCACGTAATCAAATAGAACCTGATTTATGATCCTGTGGTAGGCTGTCCCACCAGACACTGGTTTAAGGAGGAGAGTAAATGAGACCAAAGCAGCACAGAAACAAGAATTGTTAAAGGGTGGATGAATTATGAGTTAAATAAACTCATCAACCCACTATTGGCCAAGAGTGATGAGTTCGGTTACAACCCCGAAGACCTGACCAAAATATGCCAAAACCTATAGTCAGAGCAAAACCCAAACCAGGATTACACGCTGAGAAATTTATTTATTCGTTTTGTTTGTTTCATGGCATATCAAATCTTATGGGTCATTTAAGGCCCAAATGTGATTTTCTTGGGAGCAATAGTATTTTTTTTGTTTACAAAAATGTATTGCTGGTAATATTTTTTAAGCATTTCGGGGACGGAGATCAAGATCAATACATCAGAAGATGTCGATTGGCATTACATTTGAATATTTGGATGTTATAGCTATAAGGGAAGCAAGAAAGAGGAAGGGAGTTCCCATCTCTGTCCCATAATGATTATTCCATTTACATACAAATTTCATAGACTAAATGGAACAATCATTATGGTACAGAGGTAGAATAATATAGAAGAATGGCTACTTTAATAATCAGATTAAATTGAAAGAGGAGAGGAAACATTTTTAAGCATTTCACCTCAAGAAAGGCGGGAGTGCCACTAACACGCAAAGGGTTACAGAGAGTGAGAGCAAGAGTAAAGAGGGGGTGTTTGAGGAAAGGATAAAGAGAAGGAAGGGGATCAGGATCAAGGCATCAGAAAATGTCGATTGACATTATATTTGAATATTTGAAGATTATAGCTATCAGGGAAGCAAGTAAGAGGAAAGGACTTTCACTGTCAAAAAGTGCAAGAGAAGAAGCTGTTGGAGTAGAAGAGACGGCTACATTTAACTGTTTCGACAGTGAAAGGGTGGGACCGAGATGCCAACCTAGTAGCACGATTAAATTCATGCAGTTGTGTACCAGAGAAAATAGATCGTCAGAGCAGCTCTCATGAAAATATTTGTAGAAAAGACAGAGGGAAGCCACATCACGTCTGTGAGAAAATGACTGGACTCGAGATGCCAGATCAGGACCTATCACATGACATATTTAAAAAAGATTTACAAATATGTATTACTGGTAATTTTTAATATAATAATGAATTGGTAGCATCTTCACTACAAAAATCTATTTTTACTTTCATAGTGTAGCGAAACCAGTTTGGGTTTCACTATTTGCCCATAGCTGGGAACCCTAGAAAGAGGTACCACCTGGAATCAAGTTGGACATGGGAACAACAGTTATTAAGAGATGGTTTTACGGTCCTCAAAACGTCTGCATCAGCTGCCTTGATACCGGAAGTAGTTTATCGTCATACCCAGGACACCGTGAGATGGTAATGTTTTTGTGTTTACTAGGATATAAAGAGTATCGTCTATTATGAAGTATTAAATTAGAATGACGCAGTAAGATAATTGCATCAACTGGAAGCACTCCTTCAACTTTCTGCCAAAACAAGTTTCACTGTTCAGTCATGAAAGTGTGTTACTCTTGCCTATCAAAACATATGTCACTCGTTGGAAAACACAGGCAAGAAAATATTTTATCTCTAAATAGAAAAATGTTATAACCATGAAATTCTCCCGAACTGACTCCATCGGATTATCACCTATTCAGAACTTTACAACATTTCATGGAAGCAAAAGATAAACCAATTATTAAAAGATTATAAAAAAAGAAGACGCGGACATGGGATTTTGCCTCGAAACTTAAAGTATTCTATGCCCGAGGCATTGATTACTGTCTGCTTTATGAAATTAGTTCGTCGAAAACGAAGGAAATTATTGCATTGATTACATTAGTAATTGATCATTAAATAGAAGTAGATGAGATGTTTCAAGAAAAAAAAAAGTAACAGCGATTTTTTTAAAAATATATTATCATTTACGTGCCCGGCCTCGGTATGACGATAAACTACATTCGGCAGCAAGGCCTCTGATCAGGAGGTTTTGAGGAGCGTGGCACCACCTCTTAAATGCTGGTGTTCCCAGGTCCACCCTGACCCGGGGTGATAGCACCTGTTAGGGTCCTAGCTATGGGC